GCATCTCAGCATCTCAGCATCTCAGCATCTCAGCATCTCAGCATCTCAGCATCTCAGCGGTACGAGCATCTCAGTGGCCCAAACAATATACTCTCGGCGGTATAGGCATTTCAACGGCCTAAGCGTCAGCGGCACAAACATGTCGGCGGCAAAGCATCTCAGCATGTCAGCGAGACAAGCAAAACACTCTCCAGCATCTCCGCGGCGTAAACACCAGCGGCACCAGCATCTCAGCGGACAAGCAAACACTCGGCGGCACAAGCACCTCGGTGGCACAAGAAAGCCCTCAGCTAGACAAGCTCAATGGCACCAGCAAAACAGCCTTGACAGCACACGCAAAACCCTCTCGACGGCACAAGAAAGTAGTCTCAGTCGGACAAGGCCAAACACCCTAGGCAGGACAAGTATCTCGGCACCAGCATCTCAACAGCCGCAGCATCAGCAGCAGACTCTCGGCGGCACAGGCATCTCAACGGCAGGCGTGCAACGGCCCAAGGTGTCGGTCCTCTTGCGACGCCGCAACGTATGGGTCGTCTTGCACCGCCGCCAGGTCCCGGGACTCTTGCAACGCTGTCCTCAGGCATTCCTGTGGCGACGATGAGGGGTGGACAACAAGATAAAGCGCGTGTTGGCCGCGTCCGGATTTGGACAGACGTTGCTGTCGCCGACGGCCGAAACGAGAAGGCGGCCCGAGCGACGCTATTGCGCCCAAAATAGCCAGAACACGCTCAAAGCAGCCAGAACACAGGCTCGCCGCGCAACCCAGCGAGCGCAGCCGCCTCTCTACACAATGCTGATCGCAATTGAGCAAGATTTTTAGTCGGCGCCAACTTTCGTCCCTTTGCGTTTGACGCTTGATTCGGACCTTCTATCATCAGCTTGCTTCCTCGAATCAATTTCCAACCTTTGTACGGATAGTCTCCTGACCCCACTTCATTCACAGCGTTGACCATCATATGTGCTAACCGCAACTTCCTAGAAACAGGTAAATATTACGGCATTCCATGCACAACTTGCGCCTTTGCAGCATGCTCCAATAAGCACAACACTCATGCAATTGTCTTGCATGTGCTCCCCCCGAGTGCTGACCGAGCTGCAACTTTCCTCCAAAGAAACAAGAAGCTGGCCTCGATGCTTGACCTGCAGACCACTTGTTTCGGTCACTGACCCACGGGCATTCTGGCCTCGGCATCTTCTAGAGGCATTGGTGTCGCTTTCAGAATCCGGTCTTTGATAGCGAATACGGTTTCGCGACCCGAGAGGGAGGCGAGGATGGCTATAAGGAACAGCACTATGAGAGCCACACAGAAAAGTGTCCAGATCGCGAACCAACGGGAGACTTCAGCAAATACCGTCCATGATGGTCCCACTTTGACGAATGGTTGAATCGCTAGGCCGACTTGCATGGCACTGAGAGCTACACTGAAAACTCCAAAGACGAAAAGGATTGGACCGTAGAATTGAGCGAAATAAGCGCCGTACTGCCCGTGAACTTTCTGATAGGTGTAGCGTCGAAGAAATATCTTAGTCCAGAAGTTCAGTCGTGTTAATCGTAATTCTCCAAACTGGTAGCGTGGCGAGACGTCAGTATCCGTTATCTGTTCGAAGCGCTGAATGAACCTGATAAAGCCAGAATGGCGCGTGCCTTTGGGCAGCAACTGTACTTTGTCGTCTGTGGCAAGGACAAAGTCTGATTTGTGCCGTACAAGGTACCGATATGACCTCAAAAAGCCAAGAGCTGCTCTTGCAATGTCTTGTCTCAGCGGTTCCGGTACCGGTGAGTGTTTATCGATGAGGTAGAACTTCCAAAACGCATGTGATAAGAGATATCTGGGTATTGGCTTGATGTAAACGCGATCGTAGATCCAGACGAGATGCAATTCCGGCTTCTCGGTGATGATGATCTGACGCCCTCTGACAATCTGATGGGTGAGAGATGATATATGAGAGCTGTCTTGTTTGGCCACTAGCCAAAGATTGGGGGCGAGCTTGTTGAGGTCTCTCGTTACAAGCTCGGATTCAAGATAAGATCCGATCCTCGGGTCCCCTAGGCTAATGTACGGCTGGCCAGGAAGATAGGTTTTCTCTGTTGTATTGTCTATCGTAGTGCTACCATTCTGAGAGGTAGAAGCTATCGCTTTAGGCCGCCGTTGAACGGAACGCTGATCCGACGTAATGTAAAGCTGGTGGTAGAGCTCGTCCTCGTGAGCAAAAGGGGTCTGGTTCATTGCTTGAATTGGCGGTGTGGGACGGTCAAACTTTGGGGAATGATTGACGTTCATCTTCAGCGTCGAAGGCCTCACGTGGGCCTTCAGCTCGAAGATCCGCTACACTACTTTAGGAATGGCACGACCAGCCCCTCCTCGCAAAGCGTCTTCAACGACCAAGGGCCGACAAAGTAAAACTGCCTCCGGAGGCAGACCTCATCAAAGCGAATATGACGATGACGACTGTTGAAGCACTTGTTACCGCAACTGCAGCATATTTCGCGTGGGCAACCGTAGTTTCAGACAGTCTTTTTCATCGTGTTTGGAGCCTCGCGCTAGGCCTCCTCGAATTCAGTGTCCTGATCCTCCCCCGCCTATGGCCATCGTGGTCTGCGTACTCTTTGATACTGTTCATAGTTGTCGATTTTGTCTTCTGCGTCGCCCTCTCACCTCTCCAGCCATTGATTTTTCCCGCCTCGCCACGGCACCCGACATTTCCATCTGTTGAGGAGATCAATCCTCCCAAGACCGAGAGTGTGAACTCGGAATCTCCACCTATTGTTGCAGAGTCAGCGTGAAAGTCTCTTAAACTGTTGTTGATGCGACCGTGGCTGACATTTGCCTTCCTGCACAACAGTGTTGTTGCTGTACATGGCCTTGGTTCCAATCCGACCACTACATGGCAGCCTCGTCCATCCTCGTCAGCAGGCCCTACCGTATCATGGCCTCGTGATCTGCTCCCTAGAGAGAATCTCAACATTCGGGTCCTAATATGCAACCACAACACTAGGTGGGACACCGGTGCCATCAACAAGTCTTTGCAGCACTATGGCGACGATCTTCTTCGTGGACTGCGCCGGGTCCGTCAAAGGAAAGAAGTAAGTAGTTTTCCTCACTCGAAATCATCGTCTGTTTTTGAGCTAAGCATTTTGGTGTCGCTCGGCAGGATTGGGATCGTCCTCTCGTGTTCATTGGTCACAGCTTTGGAGGACTGATCATCAAGCAGGTGAGTCGCATAATGCTAGCAGCCATCTACCAGAAAGACTGATCTCGGCAAGATGTTGGTCAACGCTGCTGCCGACACCACTGATGAGTTCTGTCAAGCTGTACTGAAGAACACTAAAGGCTTTATATTTCTCGGCACCCCTCACAAAGGAGCTAATTTGACCTTTTTCGGGCGAGTAATGTCGCTTTTCGGATATTGGACGGGAGCCAGCACGAGCTTGTTGGAAGTGGTCCAGCCGAACTCGAATCTCAACGAATCGCTCCACCGTAGCTTCATGCGATATCTAGGAGGACATTGTGGGCCTCAGAATACGGTGTGCGTGTTTGAAACGGTGGCAGAAGCGATCTTTGGAATTTCTGTGACACAGGTGAGTGAGCCTTGACAAGACATGGCGTAAGCACAACTGTTAAGAGGCTTCTTTCCTGCAGGTCGTAGACAGGAATTCGGCGGTGATCGACGGCTCGCGCGAGATTGGGTTTGAGAAAGGCCATCTTGACATTCAGCGGTTCGCATCTGCAGATGATGAGAACTTTAGGGATCTCGTGCAGTGGATCAAAAAATGGACCGATAATGGTGGATGTCCCAGCAGACCCACCGTCTCTTCCAAATGCTAATACATAAAATGGGCAGAAGAACAACACGTTGGGACGACATTGACCGACGCAGGTGCGTGTAGCCACTTTCCAGCCGAGCATCACCAGTTTCTCTACAACTGACTAATTTTTCTTCCCTTTTCTGAAGAGGTTTTGAAATCCCTGGCATTCGCAGAAATGTTTCAACGACGAAATAACATTGACCGTGCTCACCCAAACACGTGTCAATGGATCCTTCATAATGACACATATACATCCTGGCAGGCTCAGCACCGGGGTCTGTTATGGATCACGGGTAAACCTGGGGCAGGAAAGTCAACTTTGATGTCGTTCATCTACAATGCGATGAAGGACGAATCCGGCAGTGCCCCAAGCACTCACCTTGAGTTTTTCTTCAGTGGCCGCGGCACTCCATTACAGAAATCATCCTTGGGAATGTATCGAGCCCTCCTCAATCAGCTTTACACCCAATGTCCGACAATTCGAGGCCCAATTCGCAAAGTCTTTGAGGACAAGCAAGCTGCGTTTGGATCTGGTGGCCACCAGTGGGAATGGCAGCGCCCAGAGCTGGAGGATTTATTTCTCAAAGCGGCGTTGAAAGCTGCGCAATCGCAGAGCTTGGTGATCTTTGTGGATGCTCTGGACGAAGCTGGTGCGACTGCCGCCCAGCAGATCGCCGCGTACTTCCACCAATTGTACGACGACTCGCTCAGTACCACAAAGAGCAAGATAAGAATCTGTTTCTCATGTCGCCCTTACCCTGTACCCCTCAAGACACTAGGTGCGGAGATAAGGGTTGATCAACTTAACGAAAACGACATCATCTCCTTCACACAAGACCACTTGAAGATCGAAGATCTCACCGGAGCGCAACCTGACGAGCGGCCTACCTGGGAAAGTCTGGTCGAGGAGCTCACGCAACGAGCTGCGGGAGTTTTCCAATGGGTCAGTCTGGTTGTGCCGATGGCGGCGAAATACATTCTCGACGGTAAGTCTCCGTCAGAGATCCGTCGCCAATTACGAAAAGTGCCAAAAGAGCTCAGCGAAGTATACAAGTACATCCTTGAGCACGTGATTGACCGTGACAATCGACCACGAACGCTTCTGCTTCTGCGCTGGGTCTGCCTTGGCCGTCGACCACTGACGGTGACGGAGCTTCGCGTTGCGATGGCTGCCACGAAGGCCAAGACCAGTCCGGCTCGTCTTCGCTATCAAGACACGGATGATTTTGTTGACACGGACAGTCGTATGGAGCGATTGATTGTGAGCCTCTCTGGGGGACTCGTTGAAACGACAAGCGATGAAGAGAAAACAGACAAGACAGTCCAGGTGATTCACCAATCCGTTAACGACTTCCTGGTGCCGCATGGACTTGCCTTCCTCTCTTCTCTGACTGGGGAGCTGGAGAAAGCGTGTTGTCACGACCCACTGAAGTCAGGGCCGTGGCACGAAGTGCACCGAAGCCACGGTGTACTTTTCCGGGGATGTCTCAACTACATTGGCATGGAAGAGGTGCGGTTTGGCAAAGGTCGCTATGGGAACGAAATGGTTGAATCACTAACGCCGTTTCTTCAATATGCCATTACAGAGCTGTTTCACCACGCGGAGAAGTCGAATGAACACTATTTTTCCGGACAGGACTTTAAGCTAGGACTGAACGAACTCCAGGATACCTTGCCGAAATGGGCGCGTCTCTTCAGGGCACTGGCTGAGTGGGATAGATATTTTCCTGCCAAGGATACTCAAATCCTCCATGTCGCGTGTCAGTTCAACCTGATTGATATCGTTGCTGAGCTGTTACAACGAGGAACGAGTCTGGAGCAAACCGACGGCGATGGACATCGGGCGCTCCACCTTGCAGCTGCGAACGGCCATATAACGGTAGTACAGGCTTTGCTAACAGCGGGGGCTGAAGTCGAACCCAGAGATCATAATGGTCATACACCCTTGGTGTATGCGGCTGAATCTGGTCATGAGGATATTGTCCGATTGCTGGTCAGCAGTGGCAGGCAGAGTAACCAGATGACGGAACAATTTGGAAGCGCACTACAACAAGCGGCAATGACTGGTAAAGTAACTATAGTCCAATTCTTGATCACGGCTGGAGCGGAGGTGAACGCTCAAGGTGGCCGCTATGGCAACGCACTATATGTGGCATCATCGGAGGGTCACGAGCAAGTAGTGCGTCTACTGATTGAGAAAGGGGCGGAGGCAAACGCTCAAGGTGGCTACTATGGTAACGCACTACAGGCGGCATCATGGAGAGGTGACGAGCAAGTGGTACATCTACTAATTAAGGAAGGAGCGGAGGTAAACGCTCAAGGTGGC